TTGTTTTTGTTGTAGCACTCCATTTTTTCAGAATTTTCCTTATTGAGGTTTTTGTTGGAGTTGTCTTGTATCAGATTCACTGTTTTCTATCATTTTATCTGCAATTCGCTGTCTGAACAATTAATTATTCTAACAGACAAGAGTCCAACCTGATCACAGCCAACGGTGTTTAATGCTAAACAGAGCGAACCGTCACTTTTGTAACCCGCAGGCTGAACATCACGCATTCCTCGCTGAACTTAAACATGGCAAACGACGTTATCCACAGATCCTGAGGCTAAGCTTTTTAATTAACGAGTATTATCATTACAGAGTGCGCTGGACTGTACGGCTGAGCTGTCCTGAGATCAGCTTCGCTCTGAACAAAGGCCTCGCTGTGTGCCAACTCCCAGAATACCTCGACATGACTGACCGCAGACTGTTCGCAGGCATCACTATCTTTCATCAATCATATCTGTTTCCACGCACAAACAGACACTCGTAGACACACACACACACACACACACACACACACATGCGTACATGCCCAGTCGGTGTTTTTCTGCTCGAACACAGACGTGCTTTCATTCCCGCTCTCCCTCCGCTCTAGAATATCTTCCTAACCGACGGAGGGATGAAAGCAAAGCTGGGCGACTTTGGAATCGCAAGAATGTTGAATAAGTAAGTCAGTGTCATCTTCACTAGCGCACACACACACACACACACACACACACACTGCAGCTGTCTGTCACTGAGCGCTCCGTAACACATGGAAGACGTCCAAACAACTGATTATCATTCCACAAACCGTCGACCCGGACACGTAAACACACAGTAGTGGAAGCGGCGGTTGGCCGACAGCGTTTGGCTGCTACAAGCAAACTGAGAGTTTGACAAAATATGGAAAAAAACATGTTCAAAACACACTCCGCGTGCAAGTGTTTTTCATCATAGCAGCACGAATAACATGTGTCAACAGTGATTGCTAAAATCTGGATGCTGATTGCATCCAGATTTCTTGCACAGATATTCATGATTCCCAGCAATCTCACCAGGTCCGACCCAACAACTATGCAAAGTGCTGTGAGATGATACATGTTGAAAAAATCAGAAGTTTAAATCCACTAAGAGGCCTTCAAACTATTTGGGAAAGCCCAGATGATGATGTCATGGCTTTGGAAGCTTTTGATAGCTTAATTGACAACATGTGAATTAACTGGAGGCACACCTGTGGATGTATGTTAAGGCTCACCTCAAACACACTACTTCCTTTTCATATTATTAAACCCTGACTGAGTGTGCTGTCTTTGTGAAATGTGCAGCACCATGGAGCTGGCCAGGACTTGTGTTGGGACGCCGTACTACCTCTCTCCAGAGATCTGCGAGAGTCGACCCTACAACAACAAGACGTACGTACACGTGGTTGTTCCTCTGCACAGTAATCTGGACCACTCAGAAGGCCCATAATGAGCTGGCGTCGCCTGCAGGGGACACAATTAAAAGTTGTGTTCCTGAAAAAGCCAAAAAATCAGAGTCAACTCAGGATGAGCACTGATAACACAAAGAGTGACGTAGATGTAATAATGCAAGGAAAGATGATGTTTTTTGTAATTTCCTAAATGCTCCTCTGGTACACGAGTATGTAATTGTGTGTACACATTTAATACATGTGTACAACACTACATTATATGTAGTTTTATGCAAATTTAAGGACATCCTGAGTGTTTTTAAAAATCTTTCCCGGTGGTCACTGACGATATTGCGACTAAAAAAGGCCCCTTCATCTTGCAAAACATCTTCCACAGCTTGAATTACCAACAAGGTAATTGCTGCTCTTTGTATTGTGATTTTTTTTTTAAATAATTTGCAGAAAACCAAGAATTCGCAACTTTCCCAATATTGTATTTGTCTGCAATAGTGGAAGTTTATTTTGCAAACAGTTTTTGTTTATTGATGCTGTCATGATGTTGATTTTAAAGAACAATTTAAACAAACCGTGCACTCTAGCTGTTTTTAAATCAATATTATAATACAATTCTTACACAGTTTTCTCAAATATTTCCTACTAAGGCTTCTTTACTACTTTTTTCTGGGAGCTTCTAATATAATACATGTTTATAACACTGCATTACATGTAGTTTCAAGCACATATAAGGACATTTTGAGTGTTTATCCAAATCTTTTCCGGTGGCCACTCGTGATATTTCGACCAAAAAAGTCCCCTGCATCCTCCAAAACATCTTCCACAGCTCCAATTGCCAACAAGGTAATTACTACCCTTTGTGTTATGAATATTTAATTTATAAATGTTTATAAAAGATGGATGTAGCCTCCAGGTGTGTAAAGTGAAGTCAGAGTGGTTTGCTTTAAACCTGCATTCTTTCTAACACCCAGCAGGGGGCGAAGTCAGCTCGTATAGAAGCCTATGAAGAAAATGAGCATACTTCTCACCTGATTTGTTTCTTCAGTAAACATTCTCCTGATGAGTTTGTGGTCTTCACGTCTAGTTTTGGGTCTCCTTCAACACAGCATGACGTTCGTTTAGTACATTATGGTTCCATTTAGACTAACATAGACGATAAAGTGCTTTAAAGTAAACTCCCAGTTAATCCAAAATTACCAAACAGGTGGAGCACGCTTTTTGGTTTTTTTGCACATTGAAATTTGAGGCTGCGTTTAAATGATAACATCTCAGGAACATTTGAAGGTAAAAGCCTGAGAATTTTACAGTTATTTTGCATCATGTTGTTAATTAAGAATCTGCAAGTAGCTCAAATCATCTCTGATTATTGATGAAATATGAAAAAAAAAACAAAAAACAAAACTGGAGGCTTCATGAAAAGTTCCATCTTTTAGCTCATGTTAAACAAAAAAAATGATATTTCAGAAGTGTGGATGGCCCATTAATGCAAAACAAAACATACAGAATAGCTTTTGATATGAAATACTTGATCACAGGAATGAAAAGAAAGTTATTTTTGTTGAATTTTTACAACTGATTGAGCAGGTTTGACAATCTCTACTACAAAATAATGGAAGAGAGCCTCATCCAAATAGAACAGAGTGATGAAGTTTTAAAGTGGTTCTCCAAATATAACACTGCAGATTCTAAAGTTTTGCATGATGAAAAATAACAGTGAAAATTTCAGGTTTTGTCTTCAATACTTTGTGCGATATTGCCGCTCAAACACAGCCTCAAATTTCAATGCATGAAAGAAAAGAGCTGAAAGTGGGAAACTGGATTTTTTTTTCAGTAAGAATTTTATCACATCCATATGATGGAGAAAAACAAACCCAACAGAACCTCCAGCAGAACCAAAGAGGACAGCTGTCTGCCTCAACCGGTCTGGGAGAGGGAAGAGGGGAGATAGAAAGTGAAATTTAAAAAAAAACAGAAAAAAGATGGGCAGTGAGACACAGACAAACAACAAACAACAATAAACAATCAACACTGGGCAGCTTGGTGAGGTCGTTAACTTTTACAGAGATGCTTGAGCAGTTGTTTATTAATGTTTTTTTTTTTTACATTTTCTTTTAAAGTACTTGACATATCAGGCTAAAACTTCACAAATACGTTTCTAAATGTTCATATTTTATGCTGTGAAGTTCAAACCAGACATGGTCGAGCAGAAAATGTTATAATAGACGGTGAGTGCTGATTAACCATGTAGGTGTAATAACAGGTTGTATAATCGCTGCATTCACTCAGGAGGGTGTTTCATTTCAGCCACAACTTGTACAAACATACAAAGACACACACACACATGCATAGCAGCTAACAACAAACTCTCACATGTAGACGTTCTCCGCCTCCTTTCTGTCTCTGTGGGGATCATTGTTCTGCTCTGTTCTGCTGTCTTGTTTTGATCCAGCTCAGGTCAGAGTTGCTTCCTCTTTCCCACACTCACACAGACATGTTTGCGCTGCACGGGTCGTTTGTTACAACGCGTCGTGTGCGCTGCAGCTTCCAGCCTCATCCTGCTTCAAGCTTCTAAAGTCTTCAATGTAAAAAAAGGGACCAAAAAGTCTTCTGAAAATGTCCAACTTTACTGGGTTCTTCTCACAAAGATGGAAGCACTAGAGCACACACGCCCACACACATAGTTGACTTGGAGCCAAGGATGGGAATGCCAGAAAACACAGATTTTCTTTTTTTTTTTTAAGAACTAGACTTTTCAGGCGGTAGCTGCGCTCCGATTGGCGACTTCGCTGCTCTCAGCATCGCGGCCTTGCTTCTCACATTTATGACTTTTGCTCAGGGGGACGGGATAATGTCAGCGCATCCTGTTCCAACAAGACATGTGTGGAGTTATACGAGATGTGCTGCGAGTGATGACTTCACACATACACTCCCTCGGAAAACATTTTGGGCTGATGTCACAAAAATCAGGGAGTTAATGTGGTCAAATTAATGTCAGATTGACTCTTAAATCCGACCTTGTGATGCAAAGCTATGTGTGTTTGTGTCCTCTGCAGAGATATCTGGTCTCTGGGCTGCGTCCTTTATGAACTCTGCACACTGAGGCATCCAGTAAGCTGCACCACGTCCTGCACATCATCAGCTGCTGCACACACACATTGAGCTAATGCTAACGTAGCCTGCAGAGGTCAATCACTGCACTAAATCAGCTGTGGGAAAAGAATATTTACACATTTTATCCTCTTCACTCACCTGTTTGGTCCCATATAGAGACATTTACAGGGGCATGTGAGACGATACGCTGCATATGTGTGATTATGTGTAAATTATTTGTCATAAATCATGTAATATATAAGAAAAATTAGCAATCATGCTAATGTGAGTAAGAAAATCCATCAGATTCTCTCATTCTTTTGCTGATTCTGTATGATTTTGCAGGGATTTATTGTGGCACTTTTACTATCTAATCAACAAACAACAGCAGTTTTCTTAATTTTTCTAGGATGCTGTGATGTATACTGATAATTCATTCAATTTTACACTTATTTAATAGATAATTTCTTGTTTTTTTTCCAGCTTAAAAACAATTTGTCCAAATTCCTTTGGAGTTAGGGCCACACTGCGAAGGACGTTCTTGAAAATACGCTCACAATTTACAGCTAAATTACAACTAATTGTTAGAAAGTTGTTCATTTGTTCATAGACACCTTTAAACAGACTTTCACATCAAAGACCAAACAACCCTTGAATGATCGGTTTACTGCTGTTATTAAATGTTTGGAAATTAAATCTAGCGTCTCAATTCAGGGGTTACATGTAAACTATATTAGTTAAACTTGCATTAGACAAGTTGTTATTCATTATAAGGGAAATAGAAAAAGTGCTACAGTTATTATTAGTGACTCTAAGCACAAAAAAATAGGAAATCATATCACAGATAAGCTGATGTAAAAGCATCCATCAGATTCTTAGAATTCATCAAACCGTCTTTAAATCTGATAAATCTTCCCTCTGCATCGAAGTTAATGCATTTGTACGCGTCCACAAATGTTTCTTTTTAAACCATTTCTTTCCCCTTTTAGCTGAAAAAATAGTTTTAAAACGTTTGCCTGTTGATTTCCTGCTGACTGATGGTTACGTGTCTGCTCGTCTTCACCTGCAGTTCGAGGGCAGCAGCCTGCGACAGCTGGTCGGTAAAATATGCCGCGGCCGATACGACCCGGTGCCCAGCCGCTACTCCTACGACCTCCGTCTGCTGGTCACGCAGCTCTTCAAGGTCACTTTTTATTTACAGTGATGTGACATGAATAAACACGTGTGCATAAACATCAGGTACGAACACGAACCTGGACGTTTGACTTCGGTTTGACTCAGATTCTGATCATTACGTTCAGGTTGCGTTCATCTGACCAAGATAGCATCTTCACAGGGAGGTTTTCTGGGAAGAAACAACACGGCAGATGTAGATTATTGCTGGAGAGATTCCTGGGAAAACCTCAGGATTTCACAGGAAGAGCTTAAGAAAAGAGATGAGAATCGATGCACCTGGTTTAGTTTCTGTCGACTGCTGCCTCCATGACCTGATTCCTGATAAACAGCAGCAGATAAAGTCACACTCAGCAGTGGAACAAAATAGTTACTGAGGTGCTTTACTTGGATATTTCCATTTTTATGTTGCTTTGTACCACATTTCAGAGGGAAATGGTGTGCGTTCTACTATGCTGCATCTATAAAACAGAGATAATCACCGTTCAGATTAAGATTTTAACCGTCCTATTACCTTCAAATTTACTGACATCTTTTATCTTTGGGTTCAATTTGACCCCAACAATTTAAACCTCCAGAAAATGATCAGAATTAAAATTGTTATGCAAGTTTATGTGTAAATAGTCCTTTAAATAAAACTGAAAAAATGATGTCAGTGACTTATTTTGAGACGTTAAACATTAAATGGGGTCAAATTGACCCTAAAGGTAAGAGGAGGGTTAAATAAAACGATATGATTAGGCTTTGAAATGCAACACATTTAAAACAAATAAAGATATGTAATAATACCTGTACAGTTTAGCTGCATGAAACTACTAGTGTACTTTTACAACTAACAAGTACAGAGATAGAACATAATCTAAGATGTTTGTTCTAATGTAGTTAAATCACCTAAAAATGATCTAATTTCCACCTACAAAGAAAGATTTATCAAACAAACTTGAGAGTTTGTATTAAGTCAGTGGGTCGGAGAGATTGCGCGACTGTTTTTAACGCTTTAGAAGTTAAATTTTGCCGCCAGTCCAGTCCTGAAGCTCGCTGGTAGCCGGCGTGGAGCTCCGACAACAGGTGCGTCGTGTTTGTTCTTTCTAGTTCGACTCTCGCAGAAGGACTCTGGATCAGCCGTGAGAGGAAAGTGTGAAAGTCAGAAAGTGTTTGAGCAGCTGTTCGGGATATCAGTCCGAGCTGCACGTCAGGAAGCTGTCGGCTTTAAATGATGCTGCAGGCTGCTGATCATTGTCCCCATCAGTGGAAATACAACTCACACAAATCACAGTTTCCAAAAGATCTGCAGGTATTAAACTGTCAATACAAGACACATCCACCAAAGTCCTACAGGAGTTGTTATTAACCATCAGGGACATAGAGAAAGTTCTACAGTTATTAAGTACTGACTCTATCCATCAAATTCTTCATTCTTCTGCCGATTCTGTATGATTTTAATGTGGCACTTTAACGTCTAATCAACAAACACCAGGAGTTTTCAGGAAACTGTGACGTATGCTGATAATTCACCGCTTTATAAACACTTTTTTTTTTACATATCTAATACTTAATTTCTTACTTTTTCCTGAGTTAAAAACACTTTCTCTAAATTCCCTCAGAGATAGTGCCACACTGTGAAGGGAATGTTTGGAAATATGTTGGAATTTACTGATAAATTAGGGCTAATGTTCAGAAAATTGTGAAGAAAGTTTTGGTGAATTGCAAAATGTTTATAGGAGATTTTAAACAGACTTCACATCTACCAAATAACATCTGAAAGGACAGTTTACTTCTGTTATTTAATGTATAGAAAGCTAATGAAACGTCTCAATTTATATGTAAATGGTGTAAATTACAACCTGTGTTATTCTAGGTTCTAGTAACTGATCAATCAACCGAACAAACGCTGTGTTTCAGGTCAACCCTCGGGATCGCCCGTCCGTCACCTCGGTCCTCCGGCGTCCCTTCATGGAGAAGCACATCAGCAAACATCTGGACTCTCAGGTAAAGACTCTGATTGGTCCATCAAACAGTCACCTGGGGGGAAACAAGACGTAGATCCTGTTTTTGCTTGAAAAGATTTGCACTTAGTGAATTCTGCTTCTGGTTTGTGGCGTCTCATAAGAACAGAAATGTGTGAATTTGCATTAGAATTTTTTTTTATTCAACAAAAATCCTGCAACACCAACATTTATATTGTATTATATTGTTTTTTTAGGAATAATTAACCAGTCTGTTTTTCTTTGTTCCTTCCTTTGAGACAACAAGAGCAAACAACTCGTCTAAATGTTGATATTTCAGGGTTTTCTGGAGCCATTAAATAAAAAATAATTCTACTCACAGAAGAAGATGAGACTCAAATATTAGATAGATCGATAGATCGATAGATAGATAGATAGATAGATAGATAGATAGATAGATAGATAGATAGATAGATAGATAGATAGATAGATAGATAAAACTTTATTGATCCCTTTGGTGTGAACCTCAGGGAAATTGTTGAATATATTCCAACAATATCCAAATATCAGGAAAGATTTCCATTTAAATATGTTTCACCAGGACTCCTCTTCATCAGCTGTGCACAGGCGTCATACTGAAGCTGTGTTTGTTAAAAGATTTCTGTATTATTTTTAAAATACATTTCAATGTTGAGCATATGGATGTTTCTGTAAAGACTTAAATATTAAAACATTTTCATTCAAGTTGTACTTTTCTCTGATGCAGTTATCAAACGGACAAACTGATATCTCGATGGTTTCCAGAGCACATAAATCCAATTAGTCGTCTTCCATTAAGACACACATTTAAACCGATTTTATTTGAGTTTTTATTTCCCTTTAACTGTCTTTTGTTTCATTCAATTATGTTCATGCCTCTTGTGTTGCTTTTATCCTGCTATGTCTCTGAATTCTGGTGAAAAAAAGGCTCTATAAATTATAAATTAAGATGATCTTTGTTATTATTTGCAATATTCAGTGATATCCATTCAATTGTATTTCCTTATTATTATTGTTGTTGTTGTTGTTGTTGTTGTTTTATTGTTTTGTGTGTGTGTGCAGGTGATGCAGCAGGAGTTTAGCCACTCGGTGCTGCACGGAAACAGAGCAGCGGCGTCACAACCTGCTAAAACAAGAACCACAGCAGCAAACACACCAGGTAGCGCCACAAAGAACCTTTATTTAGAGATGAACTGAGTACAAAGATGAGATAAGATGCATGTTGTTGATCCCTCGCTGAGGATATTTACATGTTACAGCAGCTGGATACAGATGGGAAAAAGCAAAATAAGAAATACAATCAGGATGAAAACAAAGGCTGTGAACACTTGTCACATACTCACATTTAAACAGAACAACAGCATTTCTGTTCTTGCACTCTAAAGATTCTGGAGAGAAAAGACCAGAGTTACATGATGAACAAAGCACAGTAAAATGAAAGAACCTCCTGCCTTCCCTGAACCTGGTTCTGTCGGAGGGGTTTTGGTTCCTTCCCACCGTTGCCAACTGCTTAGTCAGAGGGAGTCCAAAGGCAACTTTGGCTTGTTGGCTTCTCTGTTTACAGTCGTAAGGTCTTCACCTTACTATGTTGAACGCTGTGAGACGGCATATGCTGCGAACTGCGCTATGTAAATATGATTGAATTGAATTTAAAGAACAAACTAATGAAACTGGTCTGAACAAAAATGATGGTACCCTTAACTTTCACTGAGACGTCTGCACCTGCCAACAGGTATTTTGGTCTCGTGAACAACCTGCTCCAGCTGTCTCAGGTTTAAAGGGTGCCTTCGTAAGTTATTTCAGTGGCCATTGTGGGTCTTTCTTTCTTTAACGGAAGGGTACCAACAATTTTGTGTAGAACCGAAGACCAAAAACTTTCTTCTTCATCCAGCTGAGCTTTTGTGTTTCTGTCTCGAGTCCTTCTTGGGCCTCGTCCCCTGGGACCAGCCTTGTTCGGTGTCTGATTGAGATGTTGCCACCAGAGCTGCTCACATTCATCAGGATGGTATTGATCCGTGGATCTACCATTCTAGCGAGAACCAGGGTCCCGTTTGGCTTCCTACCAGCCCTTGGAGTTCTTTCACAGTGTGGAACTTCTGGAACTGATGGACCCTAACAGCATCTTTGGTTGCAGCCATGACTTAAAAATGACAAAACAACTGACTAGAGAACTCCAGCATCCAGTTTACACTCTGTTAGAAAACGCTAGAACATCTTAGAAAAACACGTTCTGTCTACTGGTAACGTCTTGAAAACGTTTGAATGTCATTTCAGGAATGTTCTTCTTTCTTTCTTATGTAACATCATCTGACAACATCCTCTAAACATCCTGTGAATGGTGAAATTTTCTCTCTTAGTCAACTTTTAACCACGTAGGAAGATTATTTAAAATTATAAACATCTTTAGGATGTTCTTGGAACTT